TGTACAAGCACTTTATCACAGGTATCATCTTCCGGCTTATTCAGCTTTCTACATCAGATCAGGAACATGCTGTTTATGATGGTTGTATGAGCCAGGCGCGACCTTCCAGCAGCCGAGTACATGGCAAGGACGCATCTGTTCAGGACGTAGGCAAGGCCAGCCGCCAGAACTACAGCGCCCTGAAAGCGCCACAGTAAGGAAAATGTCATCAGCTCTAGCAATCCCAGATGCCACTCAAAGCCTGTGGGGATGCCTATGCCACATATTCGCAACTCTGCGCCATACGCAAGCGTGGAGGACCATCCAAGCCCATTTGGAAAGGAGATGCCATCTTGATCCTTGTAGAAAATGGGATGTGGCAATGCACCTACTCCTCCTGCGGGTCCCATCCCCCAAAACCAGTTGAAGGCGCTCCTAACCTGCAGCACATCACCAGCGCCGCGCATGACTGCATTCACCATGGCATCCACCAGCAACTGAACGCTGCAGCGGTGCTGAGACATCTGCGCTACATCCTGTGAGATTGGTTTAGGGGGGTCTCTCCGACGGATGGTGTCCTGAGTCTGCTGCACTTCCACAAAGACCTTGCCTAGCTCCTGTCGAAAGTGCGCCACGTTGCCTGGGCAAGCTACAGCACAGACAGCATAGATGTTTTCGAGGACAGGGCCCAGTTCTTCAAGACTGAAAACCTTCCAGAAAAAATGATCCCCGCAGCAAACCCCAACTTTGAAACCATGAACACCAATGTGCTGCGCAAAGCCTGGATCTGCGCCTGTAATGTGGCAAAGGGCCAGAACCCGGCGTACATGAGCATGAAACAAAGACATGCCTAGGCCAAGATGCCATTTGGAAGTTGCACCGCTGTGTCAGGTGGCAGGAACATCTCAAAGGTCTGGCAACCGTCTGGCGTGAGACCCCTGCTGAAGCCTATGCCCTTGTCCTCATCATGTAGGACCCGCTCAAGCCTTGTGTCTGTCGCCGTTGCGATACAGCAATATACATACAAAAAAAAGTGTGCATCAAAAGCATTGGATCATTGGATGTGGTGCGTTGGACTTACTGGATGGACGGCAAGAATCATTTCACCAATCAAATTCGATATTGCTATTGCATGTATCTTTCTGCCAAAAGCGCCCGGGTCTCCGTATGTGCTAAGCTGCTAATGGCTACTAATCCTGAAGTCAAGTCTGCCTAACCAGGCAGGAAACATGGCCTACTGCAATGCCAACAGTTCTGATAATAAAAAAACATACGAACCAAAGTGATAGCCACCGTATCTGTACACTACAGATAAGGCAAGTACTGCTGAGAATGCAAATGCACAAGTTAGAACACTGGCTGTATGCGCTCGGAAGTGGGTAATTTGCGCGCCGCACGAAAGAAAAGCGTGTCGGCTCAAAGTAATGCCAAGCGTCTCTGTGTGACCCCAGTCCCCGCGGCTGCTGGGGGCTTTGCCATGGATGTAATAGCCATGGAAGGGCTCATCCAGAATGAACCTCGAGGCACACAATCACAGGATATGCTTTAAAAAACACACCAGGAACCACCTTGCATCCCATGCCATCATGCAAAACCAACATAACCCAACGAAGCGACAGATCCTAAATAACACCTTAACGTACCGCAAGCGCAATTTCTTGGATCTGTTCACTTACAATACCGGTTCTGCTAGTCGCCATACTGCAGGTGTTCACCTCATACACGTTGGCACTATGGACATTGATGTGAGAGTCTGGAGTCAGTAGTGTTATCGACACATCTTGAAATTGAACGATGTCTGACGACATGTTTCTTATGAGCAAACAAAAAGTTCTTTGGGAAGGTTTTGGAGAGGGGCAACTACTGCTGGGAAGTTCCCACTGTGGGATGGAAACCATGGAGCAGTGATAGGTAATGAAAGTTATCTAACCTATCGTCGTCGCCAAGAAGCACAGATACGTTGGCAATTGAACACACGTCGACGAAGTCATTCAGGTCGTGACCCAGGAAGATGCTGCCAATGCGTTGCAGAATGAACTGAATAGCAATGACGAACATCCAAACACTAACCCCCAGTGCAAATTGCAGGAATGGGTTGAACTCGGCGGAGAGCGCTGACAGCTCACTTTCGTAATGGGTGTTCCATCTCGCAGCATTCACCCAATTGCACCCTTCCAACAGGGCCACCATGGATAGCCATGTCACTTCAGGAATTGCGCGTGTCGCAGTCAAGCGTTCATTGAGCTCGTTGCACACGAAGAGCGTCCTCCATGCAGAAATGCCCGAATCAGGGATTGCCACAGCGTCAGTGTTCCCAGTATCTCTGGGTGCGAAGCCCTGGGCAAAGCCTGCCCCGAGCAGTGGGGAGCCCACCATCTGGCCTCCGGGTGGTGGAGGCGCAGGTGGCGTGGGACCAGGCGGCGGTGGAGGTGGCGGCTGGGATGGCTGGGTCGGGACTACCACAGTGTCACGGTCACCGCGAGGCTTCTCCCAGTCAACCAGGAAGAAAAACATCCTGAGATGCTTCCAGAGGCCAAAGCTGACGGTGAAGATTGCCAAGCAAAAGACCAACACAAGCATGACGTCATGGGCCTCGTACTGCCCTCCGCCCAAGGCAGATGGCAGCAAAAGGAGTGGAACGTTCTGCCCTTTAAACATGATCAGCCAGAATAGCGTCATCGTGTATTGGAACCAGAAAAGCAGGGAACACGTGGTAGAACACATCACCAGTACCTGCAGCACTAGCCTGGGGGCGAACAGGTGCGGATCCGGGTACACCGGCGCATTGGGATATCGCTGACTGAGCAAGCACAGTCTGAAGATCACCAGACAAAGCAGCAGCAGGATCAGGAAAACGAACAAGACGGTGACTGCTGTCCAGTAGCCAGACGTGTCCGTACTGTACTCTGCAGCAAAGCTGCCAGGGACCGTTGTGTCTTCCTGCAGATTGTCCGTCCTCTTCTCAGCATACGCAATGCTGACCACGGGGGTGTAGATCTGTCCATCTCCTTCTGGCCGCACACGGACCTGGACTGCGAGGTGCGCCGCCCACCGCACCACACGCAAGTAGCCCGTACCAGACAGGTAGGCCTGTCCTGGGCCTCCAGGGCCACTCTCTCGTCCGGAGACGGCATCGCAGAGAAGAAATCGGCGGACAAGCACATCATCTCCTACTTCGCCCTCACTTGGGTTTAGGTTGGGACGCTGTCCATTCTGCACCAGGTTCAAGATCCGCACCGGCACAGGCACCAGAGTCCCATCAGTGTTCTGGATGAACAAGTCATAGAGAATCGGGTTGGCTCCGCACTCCAGAACGCTCCGTGCTAGGATATTGCACTCCGACCGGAGCGAGCTTCCGAAACGCCTCCAAGCTGAAGGCAAGCTTCTTGGCTGCTTGGAAGTGGATGCAAAGTTAGCGCAAGGATCCAATTGTGACTCCAATTTCGTCCACCCGAGCCAGGAGCCTTCCAAGGAGTACGAGGCCAACCAAAAGACCAAAACATCAGCAAAGGTGTATCGCCAATTCAGGCTTGCATCTTGGACAGTCTGAAGAGGCCGCTGGGGGCTGTAGTATAGCCAGGGCATCTCCTCTATTGCCGTGCTGTCTCCTACGCGGGCCTTGCCTTGATACAGAAACTGAACGAAATTGCAAACTATAGCCTGATCATCGTACAGCTGCAAGACACACAGATTCGAGATACACTGGCAGGCTGTGGCATTCCCCCTAAGGCAGCCCACGCCGCATCGGATATAGAGCCATTTCATGGCTGCGCTACTGACCCGCACGTCTTGGCCTGCTGCGTCCAAGCTGAGCGTTTGAAGCGTGCTGCCTGTCCGGGCCTCAATACCCAGAAACTGCCCGAAAGGACCTGACTGCCACCAGCCCTCGCGGCCATCGATGAGGTCACGAAAGTCTACGGTGACGGCGGAGGACTCTGGAAACTGATCGTTGATCTCATTGAACTCTGCCGCGCTGACACAAGACCCACCAGCATCCAAGTAGCCGTTATTCGTGGTGCCTTGTCTGCAGATGCACTGACCAGAAGAAGCCTGCCGGTACATCCGCTGGAAGTCTGGGCAAGGGTTGCAGTCGTAATTAGGGAGAGGCTCCGACGTAGGGCTGAACAGGATCCCTTCAGCACACTTTACGCATGTCTTGTGGAGCTGGTAAGAGCCATCGCTTGTCCGCTCTTTGAGGGCACTGCCCTCTGGGCACACGCAATCGCCCCACTTCTCCGAGTATCCAGCTGTGGCTTCAGGATCAGCATCGTCAACCAAGCAGGGCAGGCAGTGCATGCGGTCCTGTGTTGGAGCCATGGGCTGTCCGTTGCTAGCAAGCGGGCAGGGCCGACATTGGAAGGGCCCCTCCGCCACAAAGCTGGATAAGGAGGCCTCCACTGAACTGTTCGTGGCATCTGGCACATTTGCAGCAAAGCACTGGTCACCGCCATCACATTGGACAAAGCCATTCTGACATTTGCACTGGTCCGTCCCTAGACGCTCAAGTTCCCTCCCCAGAACCTTAGTTGTCCAGATTCTCGGTTAACCTTTGTTTGTGTATATTCAATTTGTTGCCCCCCTTACAAAATACAGGCTGAAGCCCACTGGACAGGTAAGGCACTGCATCTGCTTGTGAAGAGCTCCTGGCAAGCTGGGCCTGGCTATCAATCTCTGTGCAACTTGCACACTGCAAGCGCACTGCGTCGAAATATTGGCCAGACTCCAGGCACGACCTGGCTAATGTCTGCGAATGCTCTTAAGAGGTAGAAAGATCAAAGGGCCACAATTTGGACATGCCCACCTGGATGGGTTGATCTGACCTCCAACTTGCAGCAACCAACAGAACAGCCAGCCAAGCACCAGCGAAGGACGAAACGGGAGTTTTCCCAAGCGAGCGCTTTGCTGCATGGATCAAGCCAGCACCGTAGGCAGCACCATACTGACTTCAATAAGTAGCACAACAACAATGCTGATGCAAGAGGACTTGGATTGTGAGGGCCATGACTCATGATCATCGTTCCTTCCATGCCCTGCTAGCTGCCAGGTTGTAGCTCTTGTTTCAGCCCGCATGAACCCTTGGCTGGGCCGAGTTGGATGCCAACACACAGTAGAGTGGATAGTCTTCCTTCCAACACTGTGTCGCTTGAAGCAAATCAGCTGCAGATCCCACAAGCTGCTTCTCANNTCCCAATCCCATCGCGATCCTATGCTGAATGATATCTACGCCGCTGATTGGGATGAAGCTAGCGGATAACCTTGGTTGCAAAAGCATCGACCACACCGCCTGCAGCCGGTGGGTGCCCGCTCTGTCCAAATCGATCGGCTGCTTGGAGCTTCTATGCAATTCAGCCTGCCTTTTTAGCACCGCGCGTCCGAGCCAGTCGACACGTCGGAGCCATAGGACAAGACCGGCATTGAAATTGTGGATCAACAGCTTGAAAACCAGGCTTACAAACCAACCCTCAACCGCTAAACCTTAAACCAGCCGACTCCTGCTCAGGCTTTCGCCGCCGGGCAGCCACAAGTCTTAGCACAGTTTAGCTGTGCCCAGAACTTCTCACAGGCCTCGTGGAGCGTTCGTCCTTGCATCAGCTTGGAGTCACAAGCAGCTGGCGGAATTCGATAAGAAAACCTGCATACTGGGGCGGAATTGGATAACAAAAAACCTGCATACTGGGGTGAAAGCAGCTTCTGACCATGCTAGCAACAGCAGCTTGAGGAGTTATTGATATGTAAGATGAATCCTAGGGCATGCGGATGCGTCTCATTTTTCGCTCCCGCATGGCTGTTACGCATGCAGGGCATGTGTCTCATAGAGTAGACTGAGTAGAGCACCCGGAAGAGCACAAAGGGACAACCACAACCCTTAGTCCCACTATCATGTATGAAATCACACACCTGCCAACCCCTGAGCCGCTTATGAAGGGCTGCCCCCCAATCCACCAAGCAGATTCTACATGGCATTTCCTCCTTGAAGAGCGCCCCAGTCGTGGTTCTTGGACCAAAGATGGCAGGCCATTGTGGCGTTGTCTGTCCACTCTGGCAACCAAGTGTCCTTAACTCTCAATCCCAGCTAGATTCCCCCAAAGTAGATAGAACATAGCTTTGAGTATATCATAATAAGNNGATCCCCATATACCTCATATTCTCTTTATTTAAGGGGGACGATAATCATTCATTGCTCCAGGCTCTATAGCCCCAGGAAGCCGAACAAAACTGCTCAGAATAGAAAACTCCAGAAAGCTGGGCCTATGATCTGCATGATCCAAGGCACTCCGCAACCTGTAGCAGAACCTGCAGCGTGGACTGCCGGGCCTGCATCAGGCACAGAGGGGTACCCTGTTGTTGTCATTAATGTCATTCCTGTTAGTACGTACTACTACTGCTGTAATTACTAGTATTACCATTGTTACTATTATTTGTATTATTACTTTCATTCCTTTTGGAGTTAAGCATATATAGGGTTTACGCTTTGTTTTCTATCCACCTGGCAAACCCTGATCTCAGCCCCAAGATTGACTATACGTATGCCATGCCCCTCGGTTGCTCTTGCCCTCGAGTTGGCAGGGTTTTGGGGTTCAAGCTACGGTTTTAAGGTTTAAGGCTTAGGTTTCTCCAAACCAGGTCCCAGCGTCGAGTATGGGGATGATAGGGAGATTGCTCCCGCTGCAGGAACAAAAGACGTTGGGATAGCATGTTAAACTTGAGGTGCCGTTCTGAGGTGTCAATGGGTTTGAGGTGGGCCTTTAGGAGCAAAGATGGCATCATCGGAACCACACAGAGACCACATAGTTAGGCATACTGCTGCCATCAAGAGAATCTGCTTGACATCTGTTAGAGAGCTTTGATAGACAAGACATTCGCAACAACAAGCGGCATACTCTAAATGAAAAACAATGACAAGAGTGCCAACAATACTAGACAGCACGCTTCTTGTGGCAGCCATTGGAACTGCACCGAACAATTAGACCTGATCAGCAGAGCAGCAAAACAATGCTTGCGCCATCCTATGGCAAGTACCATGCTGGTGGACTCTTTCAGTGCTTTCGGGGCTATGTACACCAACCCTTACTCAGCTTTTCGTCAGTGTGATTGCTGACTGGCAGCGGTTGAAGAGACCGCCAGCCTACGTAAACCATAGTATTACTACTAGTATTGCTACAAGTTGACTGTTATTATTACTATTAGTATTCTTACTATAATTACTACAACTAGTATTGTTATGCAGGTCTAAAGCTCCCAGTGTGACCCGGCCCTGCAACGGACGCTGGTAGAGCTTCCAGGATTGGCTCGTTTCGTGCTGGGACGATTTGCAAGCTTCCTGAAGGACAGGGGGGAGCGTAGAGTTTTGAGGATTCACTCTTTTGAATTAAGGAAGTCAAGGGGCTTGCCATGGCTTGCCCAACCCCCCCCCGCTTCACCCCAATGATTTTAGGTTTACAAATACTGGCATCTGAAGGCTGGCCATGCGCAAGACGGTATAAGATGGCCCAAAGTAGGCCAAAGAGCTTGTATCAAAAGAGCTTGGAGTGGATCATAAGCTAGGGCTACTTTAACGAGTGGGGATTTACCAAAATGAGCGGTCCCTTTTTGGGGGCCCCTATAAGAAG